TCAACTAATGGTGTGTTTTGTTCTATTAAAATAGCTTAGAGCATTTCCAGCCCACGAGCCACCTGTTTGGAAATTCTACAATCCCTGTTTCTCTAACCATGTTTTGTTTGACATTGCCTTCTGATTCACAGATTAACATCCATGAAGGTCTTTTAGAATCAACTACTGCATCATCAACTAGTACATCATCCACAGCAGCTGACAGAGGCATTTAATGCAAGCTAGTGTGTACCAGGCCTTGTTTATTACCCAAAATTATTTTGTACATCACCATTACTACACTACTGCACTAATCTAAGATTTGTCTAAGACTCTTACACAAACATGAAGCAAAAGCTCTCAGCGTATTGTAGGCTTTGTCTCAAGTATTTCATTTGTGTCCAGCTGTTCTTAACAGATTAATCAGTCTCAGATTAATTAGAGCAATATCTCTATAGTACTTTACTACTTTGAAATCCTAAAGTACTGTATGAGGTAAGTAGTATTAGCAAATTATAACCTAAAACAGAGATGTGGACTGCAGATTATATCACCACTAAGATCACTGACTTTGTGCCCTGTATCTGAGGCTGATAAAATATTCAAACTTACCCTCCCATTAATGGTATCAGGAGACCTTGTTACAGGTGGCCTTTGGTCAGTTTTTTCTTCCATTTGCCATCCTATAACTGTAATGTTACCTACACGATCACTTTCAGCAGACCTGTAACAAACACTGCGAATCAGCACTTCTTGGAGAAGGATTTGTTTATCAATAGATGACTAATTACCACTGTACAAAATGTAATAATCCATACATTCAAAGAATATTTTAAATTAGGAAACTTTTAATATGTGGATACAAGTTAATTTAACTTTACATGCTAGGTAGTAAATGATACCAACAAAGAGGCATTTCCTCGATTTTCCAAAGATAGTGCATGGGTCTCCTAAGTGCATGGGTCTCCTAAATATATGTGATTTTATACGCCAGTGTATCTCAGCCTATTTGCCACAGTGGGCCACACTTGCAGCTCTCATTGTGTTATGTGGGCCGCACCCACACAATTTAATTCCTGTGTATCCATTTAAAAATGTTTTGTATCTGTTATCTGACAGATGTAATACAATGTATTATGTAATGTAATACAAATCAATATTCCTCTCATTTCTACACTGTCAAATGTCTTACCATTTTATTTTATTTTTTTACAGGATGTCACATGGACTGCAGCAGCATGCTGATTTGGCTGCATGTGGCCCACAGGCCACAGGTTGAGACCCATTGTTATATGCTACAGCACACATGCTGCAATACCCAGCCAAAGCAGGAGAGAGCTAAGGTGTGATCAATAGCATTAGCTTAGCATTGCCTTTATTTTATTGATTTATGACACATTCTTTGTTATTGTGAAGCTGGTTCCTTTTAGCAAATCTATAACAGCAGATCAAACAAGAACTCGTGCAAACAATACTGGGGAGTAATATGAAACAGACACATATGGAACCATGGGAACAGATGACATGCACATATATAGCAAGGCACAGTTGTGTAACCAAGTTTCAAAAGAAAAATAATTGCTACAGATATTGCTGTATATCCTAACTGCATCTTTGAAGGGTAATGTATTGCAGTGAAGAGACATCCACAAATACACCCTTTTCTCACTGTACCAATCAGACTTGTAACTCCATATCAAACTAAGTATTTGTATTACACCTCATGTCATCTGGCCTACAGGGCTCCACACAGGTCCAGAAGTTTGGCTGTGGAGGAGCTGTGGCAATGAATGCTACCACTGCTCCCCGACCACCAAATTTGCAAGCCCCATGACCAGATGACATGGCCACTTGCACCAGATAGGGCTGGTACCAGAGCAGTACGCCTGATCCCAGTGTGCACAGGGCCAGGGTCTTATCCGCTACATGTTGGGCTAGAATATTTTGGTGTGCTGACTCACGCTGGATCAGGCCCACAGACTAATCCCACAGACCAATTCCACACTCATCCAGCCTGCAGCCCAGAATGGATAGGCACCACTTCTCTGTGTCATATGTCCAACAAAGAACACTGGAAAATCCTGCACCGACTTCACCCCACCTCCACAGTTTTCTCCACAATTGTGAATAATTAGACTACTTTACCCATTGCCAACATCAAACCCTCAGTGTTTTTTCCGACTTGTTTCCCGACTTCTACAGCACATTCTTTGCTGTCAAACCTTACTAATTCTTGCTTTACAGCTCTATGCCTTGATCTTCTCTCACCTAAAACAAAGCAACCACTTCCAAGCTTCTCATGCTGATTCTACTGCAAGCATTGTTCTCTCTGACCATGCTCCCCTACTCAGACAATTTTGGCTGATTTTGCCTTCATTTTTCACATCCTGCTGAAGATTCTCATCATTGCTTTCAAACATCCCTAGCTCCTCCACCCACATTTACCCCTTCAAGTTCAATTTCTTCTAATATAACTTTCTGCTCAGGTTACCAGACTAACCTCTTACATGCTTGATTTCATACTTCCATGCAGACTCCTACACGTGGAAAAATAATTTGGTTCTTTGTCACAAAGCTATCGCCCTGTCTTCAGTACTTCCCCCTAAAACAGTGGTCTCCAACCTTTTTAGGTCAGAGATCACTTTTGGAATTTAAAAGGAACTCAAGATTTTTGCCCCCCCCTCCCCTCCCCAGCAGGTAAGTCTGTGGGTTGGGAAGGGGTAAAGGGCAGGGGGACAGGGCAGATCGAGACCCCAGCCCTAGCCCCCATTCCCTCCCTCACCTCTGAGGCCTCGATCTGCCTGCGCCCCCCAACAGTATAAGAAGGTAAAAGGTATATGCATAATTAGGAATGGCTCTTCCTATTCATGACATGTTGTAGCAATCTATACAGTACAGATTGTAAGGTCCTTAGAGATTATCAATAACCGTATAAGGATCATAGATAAAAATAAGGACCTAAGATATCCATGTAAATAAAGAAAGCTTCTAATATTTTAGGTCTCTCACTCTCTTACATGCACAAATGCTGGGATGATTTGACAAAACGCACAGAAAGCAATGAAAAACTGCACTTGTACCCATACACTTAACCTGTAGGATTAGAAACAGTTTCAAGAAGTGATGCCAGCCCTCTCACTCCTTGTTCTCTGCAAACTTTGGCACCAAATCAGTAAAAGATTACTGCAGCACTTGAAAAGGCCTTGCTCTATATATTTTAACCACTGCACAGTATAAAAACTGATTTCCACCTGTTGGGCACCTGAAGTTCAGACACTTAATTTTTAAAATAAAATATGCAAACAGTTTTCATAGCATGCTCCTGTACCACGCTAGCCCCAATATTAAGAATATTTGATTTCCAAATGGCACAACATTACAAACCTTAGTGTTAAATGCAACCTATGATTTTTCTCCTGAAGTAGCTCCTTTACCATGAATGCCACAGAACCAAGTAAATACATCTGAAAAAAGGAACATTCTTATTAGTGTCAACATTTCAATTTTAATGTTTTTTTCCAAATCACTTTTCCATGGAGGATTAATAAAATAAAAATTCAAGAACAAAATATAGCTATACACAACACAAATAAACAAACTGTTCAACCATGTTTATAAAGGATAAAGAAGATCCCTTGGGATATTCACCTTGAGGAAAACTAGACCCTTTTTTTTTTCTGGGTGGAAAGTAAGGCCGCTTCCAATATATACAGCCAGTGAGGCAGGGTGGGAGAGGGAATTCTGAGCCAAATTCAATGCAGAGGCAAAGGGATGAGAGGCAGATGGTACCTGCAGATTCAAGGGATCTGGTTTGAGGGTTAGCCTTATGGCCTTTTTCTGTGGGGAAGCAAACTATCCCTCAATGTGATAACATAAAGGAAATTCCTGTGAAAGCATCCACACAGATTCCCTTATGCCAGAAACATTCCTGCTATTTTTTTCCAGAAAAGGGAATGAGCTTATTCTCATTTTAACTGGACATCGGTTTGTTGGTGGGTAATATGCTATTCTGAAGGGCAAGTGTGAATGATAACATTCAACTTCAAACTGCCTTTTCTGAATGTTGTGCGAACAGGAGTGAATCTAATATCTCAAGTATATGTATCATGCAGAGGCTAGTCCACAGCTTCCATATGCCAGACAGCAGAGTGCATGGACGCTTTCCTGAAACCATCTTCTAGCACTCTGTACTTCAGAAGCAACCTTCTATTTTGTAATTCACCACTTTATTAGAAGAAAGACTGAGATTTCAGCAGATGATAGGGATTTTGGTGGAACTCCTTATGCTTGTAAGCAGTGAAAATGAGGTAACTTTTTTAGACACGGGGGGGGGAAATACATTTATACTGATATGAAGAAAATACAGCTACTCAAAACGCTACTCAAAATATGCTTGCACATTTCAATTACTGATTTCTAATTTTCATTAAAAAATACATGGTCAGATAAAACAAGCTTCCAAACTTTTGCCAATATAAGCAGAAAAGAGCTCTACAAAGGAAGCTTTTGAATTTTCAGTGGGAAGCTGATTTTTTGCCACTTTTCACCGTAAACTGGAAAATGAACTAGTTTCTTAGAAAAGTACAGTTACGATATGTTCTGAATTTTTTTTTAATTTAAAACAGTTTTCTTTGGGAAAAATCAATTTTTCACTTTTTTTTACAAGGAGCCATCGCACAGAAAATGTACTTACAACGTTTATGCCTGGATGCAAAACTAAACAGGAAAAACTATCACATAAATCTGCAAGACTCAAGTATTTAAAATTTCATTTTCAAGCTCTAATTTGAGGCTAACAATGACCTTAGCATTACTCTAATTCAGCATAAAGTACTATGAAGGAACAGATAAAAAGACAAAAGCACCTTTCATCCTAAGTGTTTAGGACTCATCAAGCTACCAGATTTGTGAGGGACCTTGGCTTCAGATGAACCAGACTACTTCCATGGGGCCAAAAAAACAGAAGTTTGGTTTAATTTAGAACAGCAAATATGACAAAAGGACTAGGCAGGAATATACAAAGTGAACTTACTGTTCCCTGAGATCTATCCTTAACATCATAGACAGAGAGTTTGATTTGTGTCATCTGATTGATAAGAGAGTCTTGAAAAAAGGCAATACTGCTTAGAAAGATAGGATTGCTTGTTCCCTGTAAACATAAATCAAGAAGGTAATATTATGTACTGTGATATATGTTGAAAAGAAACTATTTGTATATTAGCTTCTACTTTAAATCTAGAGCAGCAAGATACCACTACTTACCTCAATAATCTCTGTCTGTGCATGCTTTGTCCAGAATGCCTGAGGAGGTGTAGTTACGCTCACTGCTACAAAACTATTTGGTTTTCGGTCTAGCGAGGGAGTGAGCAGCTCACTGCAAGCTGTAGGGGTTTAAGAGTATAATTTTTAGATTCATGGTCTTCCCAACGTATTCTAAAACCCCACAATTTTCATAAAAAGGTATAATATAAAAAGAGCAAATCAGTGCGCCAAATTTTCAGTCTGCCTCAATTTTGTGCATATGTGCAATATTTGGATCTGTGTGCACACATGTAGCTCATGACTTGAGAGGCTGGGGTGCTTGACTTATGAGCAGGGATCCAAGTTTTCTGTTTGCCATGGAAAAAGGCAGATTTTCTCCCTTTAAGGAAAAAAATGCAGATTGTCTCTTTTAAAGGAGAAAAAGTGGGAAACAAAAAGTTTCCCCTTGAAAGGTTGGCAGAGTTCCAGCCTGCAAGGAGCTGTTGGAGGTAGTGGGAGAAGGGAAGTGAGAGGGGGGCCATCAGGCAGGGGGAGCACCATCTGTGCGCACACACATGTGGCAGCCAGGCAGCATGCAGAGCAGCTCCCACAGCTCCCTCCAGGTAAGTCTATGGGGGGAAGGGAGGAGGGCAGATTGAGGAGGCCCCCATGGTGAAGGAGTGGGGCAGGGCTGGGTGTGCTGCCCAGCTGGGGTGGCACGTGAAGCTTGGGGCAGGAATGCACGGCCATGTGACCTAGCTCAGGGAGCAGTATGGAGCCACAGGTGGCTCATCTGGAGGAGTGGGGAAAGGGGGAAGCTCTCTGATGCTGCATGCACTCCTGGGGAAAGGGGGGGCACATGCCCCCCAGATTTGTGCATGGGGCAGGGGCAGATGCAAGCTGCCCATTGCAGGCTCAGTGCTCCCCACCCTGCTGCCCTCCCTCCCGGGTCTCTGCGGCCCAGTGGGTAGGACCCAGCACAGGATGGCAGAGCGGGGCGGGGAGACTTAGTGCCACTGCCAGGAGCCCCACACCAGCCATACTGCCGTGACAAAGTGCCCTCTGCCTGCCCAGAAGCAACAGTGGGGCACAACTCTGCACCACTGCCCCTGCTGCTGCCAGGCGGGCTGGGGGTGCCTTGCCACGGTGCTGCTGGGTGCCCTAGGGGGAGGGCAGCAGGGTGGGGAGTCCAGAGCCCACAGTGGGCAGCCCTCACCTCCACCTGCCATGGGTTCCACTCTGGCCATGCTGCCCACAGGAGAGGGGGAGTCAGGCTCATCGTGCTCTGCTCTGGCTGTAGCACCCACTATCTCCTCCATGCAGCAGCCGGGGCTCGGGTACTGCTGCGGGAGGGGCAGGGGGCTGTGGGCCTTGGCCCTGGTCCCTCAGCCCTGGCCCCCTCCAGGAGGACTGGGGGGGGACAGGAAGCTGCAGGTCACGAGTAAGGGGCAGCAGCAAGGGGTGGGAGGCTGGGGGTGGGAAATGAGGGACAATGGCAGGGCCAGGGAGCTGTGGTTTAGGAGTGAGGGGCACCTGGGGGGTTGGGTGGATGGGAGGCTGTGGGCTGGGAGCGAGGAGCACATGTGGGGACTGTGGCTTGGGAGTCGGGGGACGATGACAGGGACAGGGCATCAGCATATCAGGGCTGCTCAGCACTACAAGGGGGGGGGGGGCAGTCGCAGCTGCACCTGCATCTTGGTGAGTAAAGCGGGTAAGGGAGCTCTGATTTTTTATGATAAAAAAACAAAAATCAAACATCAAAATATATAGGTTTTTAGAATTTATTTTATTATAATGATTGAGGCACTGGCAGCCTTCCAAGTTGCTTTAAAATTGTAAATAAACTAAAAAAATTGTGATCAACTGATACCTATATATATATATAGGTATATATATATATCTATATAGTGGTGTTTCATTTTAATCATGGAAAAACACAGGTTTTGGGTTTTTAATTAGAGAATTTGGGAAATTAAACAGAGAATTTGCTATTTTTAAACAGAGAAAACCTGGATCTCCCTGCTTATGAAGAGAGGCTGAAGGAACTGGGCTTATTTAGTTTGGAGAAGAGATGACAGAGGGGATTTACTAACAGCCTTTAACTACCTGCAGGGTGGTTCCAAAGAGATGGAGCTAGACTGATCAGTGGTTGCAAATGACAGAAAAAGGGGCAATGGTCTCAAGTTTCAGCAAGGGAAGTTTAAGTTACTCAACAGGAAAAACTCTCTCATGAGGAGGGTAATGAAGTGCTGGAACAGGTTACCCAAGAAGGTGGTAGAAGCTCCATCCTTTGAGGGTTTTAAAACCTGGCTAGACAAAACCTTGGCTTGGATGATCTAGTTGGGGCTGGTCCTGCTTTAAGCAGGGGGCTGGACTAGATGGCCTCCCAAGGTCCCTTCTACCCCTCATTTTCTATGATTTTAATCAGACAGACAATTATCTGCAATGCACATGTCCATATGTGTGTTGTCTCATACAAAGGTAATAATGCAGAAAGCTAGAGCTTGCTGGGATGCCCCAGCTATAATTTACAGTTGTTTTTCTCTCCAAGTGGTACCATTGTGGAAGACTAGTAGTGCAAACAACACCTGCCAATGCGCTCTCTGGTAGAACTGCACTTAATAGTGCCAGGGGGTGTTTCTGCATTGAAAGCCCATTGGTACGATGCATGTGATCTGCACCTACATTCTGCTGAACTCCGCAGGATTCTCAACAATAACTTGCCAAGGGGCATCATGGGGAGTGCTTGCAAACCAGCCATATGCCTGAGCTGTAAACAAAGGAATCTTGTCCATTGTAGCAAGAGTGCAATTACTTCATTTTCCCTCAAATGTAATGGTGTTTAATTGTTTTAACTATTCAGAAGGGAGGATACGCAGGAGGAAGCAACTACCAAAATCAATGGGACTGACTTCTAATCATAATTAAAAAGAACTTTAGAGCTAAGGCTGATACAGCTTTATATAAATCAGGAGTCAAACTAACGAAATAGTTCTGCAGTGCTGGGTACTTTCTATTTTTTTTGCTCAACTATCAGAAATTATCTGGAGCTAGAAAAAATAAACATTCAAATTCTGTATTCTTCATACTAAAGGTTATTATGCTTGCACATTTTAATTACTGAATTCTAATTTTCATTAAAAAATACATGGTCAGATAAACAAGCTTCCAAACTTTTGCCAACATAAGCAGAAAAGAGCTCTACAAAGGAAGCTTTTGAATTTTCACTGGGAAGCTGATTTGCATCTATTTTTCCAGCTGGGTTAACTAATGCACCAGAAGGTAAAGTGACTTGATTAAAGTCATTCAACAAAACACATTTTTATCTATGCTAGACATCAGGACACCTTTGTGCCCCCTGTTAACCACCTAATTGCACAGTCAATGGACTAAGAGAAAGACTATTACAATTAATAATCATTCCAATAATAATTAGAAAATATTCCTGCTTAAATAATTTCCGTCAACTTTCTTGGAAGGTTCAGTGCACTGACAAATTAAAACTAAAGTGATCATTTCAATCCCAAATCCAATAAATTTAATCAAACAGACGTTTTAATTTACGGACTCTCAGAAATATAGTACAGTTTGCTCACTATCACTATTTTGCTTTCTATCAAGATACATCTACAAAAGCAAGGTAAGGTTCTATTTCATACTTTCATTAAACACAAAGTATGAGATTAGATACTGCTCAACACCTGTATGTAAGATAAACCTTTCAGTATAAAAATATTCAGCAGCATTTACCAGGGAAATTAAGAAAGATTAGAAATTATCATAACAACTACCTACCTAAGCTGAACTCTAAAATCGGTTCATCTAGATCCTGGATATTTCCTGTAACACAGAAAAATGTATATAAGATTTGATAACTACTACTCCTATTCCATGCGATTCTTAAGTTCAAGCTACAATTAAAGAGGGAAAACACTTTACAGAAGAAGTTATATCCTGAAAACATTTTTTGCATATTTTTTTATTCAGTGAATCATGAAAAAATGCTTTAATATACAGTAAAGTCTGGTTAATTTGCCACCCCAGCAGGGATGCAAAATGGCAAATTATACAGTAGTCATCAATTACTAGTCATCAGAATAGCAGCAAATTAAAACAGTGGCAAATTATCCCACAGAATTTACTGTGTTTACAAGTTGAATCTTCAATACATAAAAATATGCTCAAAACTATATATTGCCAACTGATAAAAATACTTAGGACAATAGGCAAAAAATTCAAAAGTGCACAAGTGACTCAGGAGCTTAAGTCCCATTTTGAAAAGTGATTTACATACTTATGATCCTAAGTCCCACTGAAAGACAATAGAAGTTAGGCTACTAACACAATGAGCGATGCTTGAAAATTAGGTTGTAAGTCACTTTTTAATATTTTCCCCACTACCTAATAGTACCTAAGTAATCACTCTCTCCCCTTGCAGCCTTCCCCAGCACTTTTTTTCCTTTCTTGTGTCTTTATGACAAGGTATTTAGCAGATATAAACCCACTTCTGGCTCCATTTTTTTTCCTTGTTTCAGGGACTGACAATGGGTTGGGGTTGTGTGGGCACTAAGGTGCATGGTGTCCAGTCCAGAGGTTGCAAGTTCAAGGCCACAGCAGAAATGCTCATGGCACAGACAAGTCAAATTCCAACAAATCTGTGAGTTCTGCTAAATACCTTGTCAAAAAGACGGGGACACAAGAAAGAAGAAAGGGACTGACAATGAGCATACACCCCAAGACCTAGCCTAACACCTCTCCTTTTCTATTTCTAGGCCCTTGGCTATAAGATGGATCAAAATTATTTTTCTTGTTATCTGAATTTTAGGATCACACCACCTCTGAACAAGTCGGAACATCTGAAATGTAAGTAATCAAAAGATATAAAAGTATGTCTGAAAAGAACATGAGGACACCTGGTAGCACAGAAAGACTTACCTGCTAGGGAAAGGCCTAGCATGTCAGAGGCAACATCAATAGTGGAGGCCCGTTGCACAGTGCGGGATTTTGCACCATGGCGGGGACTGTGTTCTCTTGCTGTCATTTTGTCATGAAGAACCGTTCTCTTGCTGCTAGAGTCTAGTGATTTGTCTTGCTGAAGTATCAGGGGGCAGCAGATTGTCTCCAATAGCTACTCCTCTAACATTACCATACTAGGCAGTAACGAAAACAAAAATATAAATGGAGTGCTAAGCTATTTTCAACCAATGCTTTTTTAACAGTGGCAAATCTATACGTTAAGTGACTGGACACATAAATACTGATAAAATACAAATTCATGTGATTCATGCTCCTGTAGGATTTTAATAAAAATGGGCTGAATATTGTGCAACATATAACAAAGGTTTTTCTGTCAGAAAACAGGAACTGAAAGGGACCCATTGGCATAGCAACTGCTCTTCATGATTTGGCTAAGTTATTAAATCATCCTTAATGATGTTTATTGGGTCTTGTAACCCCAGTGCTTTTGTGGGGTGGGGCTTCTGCAAGCAGAGATAGGAACAACAGATACAAATAAGTGGAGAGTGGCTGACAGAATAGAAAGCAAAAGGCAAAAGTCATTACTGCTGCTAGAAGGTACCAAAACTTTTTAAAAATCCATTGCCCCTAAAAAGACATATCCAAAAGTAAGTAACAATTACTGGCCTTGAGTAGGTCTGAAACTAGTCGGGGAATGTAAAGGAAAGGGTGTGGTTGGTGGCTGCTGATACTGTAGCTCTGCAGAGCAGAAGGTTTCTCTGCAGTACTATTACACGATACTTTATGTATAAATTTCTGTTGGAAAAGGGAGTGAATTACCCAATGGACCCATCACGGATATTTTACATTGGAGCATTACAACCTGTTGCTTTGAAGTGTTTCCTTACCATCAGGCCAGTGATACAATTATCATTAAATTTTACAGTAACTCACATTCCAACTGATGACACATTTGAAACTAAACAAGAAGCACTTCTGTACACCAGAAAAAACGGAGGTATGAAAACTCCTTGGTACATGACACAGTAGAGGCCAGTAATTTATAAAGAAAATATCAACATTCAGTTACACTGGGAAGGATAAATGTAAGGGAAATGTGATTTCCTTCCCCAGATGGTGCTGGGAAAGGGGTGGATGTGGAACAATACAGTCAAGGAGAGAAGCATCTGAGCTCACCTGTGCTAAGGTTGGCTAGTTTGCTGACAAATGTGAAAGTTCCCGTCTTTCCTGAATGATATTAATTTGTAATCATGACACTTCTGTATCTACTGAATTCCTAATATTGTTTTGACAACTCCTTCCATTCAGGAGGAGAAACATGGGAAGCAAAATAGAAATTTTGTGATAAAGTGACCACATGCCCCTGGCTTATATTTTCACTGCATCCATAACAACTCCTCATTTAGTAGCAAAACCTTTTGATAATTCTGGAAGAATTGTTTTTCCTTACTGAGTTATAAGATGCAGAACAGGGCCAGTGTCTGAACAGGGAATTTAAAAACTCAAAGATGGGAATGTTTCCCAAAAGAGCAGACTGACAGACCTCTAGGTTCAGAATGAAAAGCTGTCCTCCTTTACAAGAAAGTATGTATCAACTTAAATTGAATATAAATCAATGGATTGATGTAAATCAACACTCAACAGAAAAGAGATATTGATTATATGCAGGAAGTCAAAGAGACATGCACACTTCATTCCCAAAAGTTTTTAGAGTGCATGATAGCATGGGCCATGATGACGGTCACACTGCAGAATTAGCTAATCCAATTCTAATTCCTATGATGGTTAGTAAACAGGCAGTCCTCCCAGAACAGCATATAGTCCCAAACGACAGAGCTGGCCAACCTGTACCATGAGTGCCACAACAGGCATAAGCAGCTTCTGTGCATGTGGAATGCAGCAGATCAGCAGATTACGGAGAGACAGGCAGCAGTGGCAGATAGGGCAGGGAGCAGAAAACAGAGCAGATCAGGCGTATGGGGTGGGAAGCAGAAAGTAGAGGCTGATTAGCGAGGAAGAATAGGGCAGGGAGCACAAAGCAGAGGAGCTGATCAGGAAGGATGAGGGGATTGGAATGGCACTTGAGGATGCAGGGCTAATTTGTGGCATGCCTGACAAAAAAGGCTGGTCCCCACTATTCTACAATTTGCTTAGGTCAATAGTGCTCAAGCTTTTTCCCTGGCAGGTTGGATGGGCAGTTCCTGGTTCAGCCGTGGGCTAGATGGAAGTTCCAATCCAATGCCCAGGGCCAACATGGTGAGCAACATCCAGCCATGAAGGAGCAGGGGGTCAGTCCAGCCTGAGCCCTGCTCTGCAAGGGAGGAAGGGGGTTTCACATGGCCCAGTGTGGGGAGGGGGTGAGGAGGTGGGGCCAAGGTAGGAAGGTGTGACCTGGGCCTGTGGGGGGGAAGAGGGCAGGTCCTGGCCCTAACCCCAGCTCCCAAGAAAAAGGGGGCATGGCCTGATTCCATGTGGGAAGAGGGGGAGTGGCCCAGCCACAACCTGACCCATGGGGGAAAAGGGGTGTGGCTTGGCCCTGTTTGGTGTGGGGGGGCATGGACTACTTCCAACCCAGACCCACAGGGGATAGGGGGTTAGCCAGGTTAGCCTGGCTCTAATTGGGCTCACAGGGCTTGGAACTTTGTCAGGGGGAAGGGTGGCTATATTAACGGCCACTGCTTCACCGCCACCAAATTTCCTGACCAGGGGGGGCCCCACAGGCCAGATGTGCTAGTTCCATGGGCTGCACTTGGCCAACAGGCTGGAAGCTGAACACCCCTGGCTTAGGCAATAATTTCATTGCAACTCTCAGCCAGCCTCCAAACCATCCCAGTTCCCCCTTTTTTCCCACTTTGATCACTGGTTTTTACTTGACTGTTTTTTTTTGTTTGTTTGTTTTTTGTTTTTTTTTACATATTATGCTTCTCGATTATTTATCTAAATTAAATATGAAAAGTATACTAGCAAGTAAGAATTTGTTTTCTCTATGACAATTTGTACTCATCATACTTACAGTGGGCTGTTTTCTTCCCGCGTGAAATTGCAGTTTGGCATTTCTCAAAAGCAGATTTCAGTCTACATCTAAAAACAAATATAAGAGTAGGTATAAGTTACATTGTGGCCAAAAGGCATTTTAAAAAAGCATTCAAGTTTGTTTTTTAATTTGCACCTTGTTCGGCATTTACTTGTGTGCTACATTTGTATTTCCTAATTCTTAAAATGAAATCTTAGAGCACACCTGGAACTACAGATTCAACAAAAGCATTTAAGTCTGACAGTCAGCTCTACTTCCACACAATATTAGTGAGGGCTGCAGCCAGTCTAAAGAGAAAAAAGAAGCATCAGTTTGTGTTAAAGGCAGCTGATTTCTGGTCAGCATCTGGTAAGGGGGAGAGGAGACAGGAAGAAAAAGTTGCTGAAATGTTTACATAAAGATGTAGCACTACAAAAAAAGCTGTAAAAATGCTGCTCACTGGATGCAAGATACTTTTTGTAATTGTTTTTTTCTTTATTATAGTCACATTTACAACTATACCCACAATTTCTACCATATTTTAGATCCTTATATGTTGCTTTGAGTGGTTCATGAAATTACTACCCTTGGGAGAAAGAAGGGTATTTAAAATGGTCAAAAAATAATCAGCTTGATGGATGTAAAACAAAGCAAGCAGAGGATAGGACATCTATTTCACTTTGTAGAATGGCTGCGCAAGGTAGGATTACATTACTGGCTAGTAATAAGCATCATAGAAATAAGAGCAATTAATTTATTTCTAAGTTCATCATGATGTCACTGAAAGTTTGCATCTGGTAACGGTCGATTTCCTCAAAGTACATGTAAAGTCCACAAAAAGGAAAATAATTTTTGATAACTAAATTCAAAGGAGTATAATAGCGACACCATGCCCCTTAGTACATCCTATGAAGGACATCTTATGATGAAGATAAACTAGGAGAAATTCAGTCAAAACATCTTATTCTCATCTGTGTCCAATCAGTCCTTCAAACCTGCTTATAGACATAGCCCTAATCAGGACAGACAAAGGACATTATGTGGAAAACAGCACAAGAACTCTGTATTAGCCGAGTTCAGATGTTAACAGATGGGGATATAAACTGCTGCAAATCTTCCAGACAGAGCACTTCCTTTTGGTATCCAAGCCATTCACACCTAACAGCTGTCATACCAGAGCCCATGACTGATGCAGTCATTCTCTCAGACAAACCCAGTTCTGAGCACGGCAATTGGGACATCAAATGTGTAGTCTATCGATTTGTCCACTCCATCACTGCTGGCAATAGGTGCAAGAGATCCAGTACCGAACAGGCAAGGTTCTGCTACAATGGCAGGTTTTAACCACAACTACCACAAAGGTACCAAACCCAGCCTGCCTTTTTCTACACTTGCAGCCACATCATGACCACAACAGAGGCTTGACTACACTCATTCCTGATGCCTGGGCCAGAAACCAGTTACTCTCATAATACAGAACAGGGCTGTGACCACATAAGGATTTTACGCTCATCTGCACAAAAGAACTAAGGGGTGGCACGAGTGATGGTAAGGACTGAACTACAATTATCTGTGTAACTGTCTGGACTTCATAAATGCTCCTATTACTGCACGGCCAAGTCAGAAGAGAGAACCTGCTCTTTTCCAGTGCGTTTTGGAAAACCAGATGAGTAACCCTAGTCAAGTTCAATCCTCAGATTGCTTCCTTGGAAGAAGTCTCCCCTGCTCAAAAATGATTTAATCAGTTGGCCAGATACCAGTGAAAGCCACAGTGAAAGTATGCAACCCACACCTTATTCAAATTCTCAGCTAGCATTTCAGTGATTGTATCACAATGCATCATTTGTTTTCCGAAGTGGGCTGTAATCGCCAGAAGGGTAGAAATGTCAGCCTCATTCAGCTGCAGCTCTGCAGTCAGACTTTTGTGGTTGATGCACAAATGATGAGCCACTAACACACACACTAAATGGAGATGCTCTTTCAGCTCCAGGCAGAAAGGCCTGTGGCAGCAAATCGTAAGACCCAGCACAGTGTCTAGCACAGCTGGCCCAATGCAGTGATGCAGCCAATTCAGTATGCTGACGCCAACAGCTGCGTCAAAGGAAAATGTAGGAAGCCCTCCAATAAGCAGATGCAGACAAGAGTCCTAATCACTCTGACCAATGGCATATGTTGATAACTGTGATAACTGTCTGTAGCCACAAAATCACTGATGATTATTCAGGTAATACAGTTCTCATCTCCCTTGAGACCCTGTTGCGATATTACCGTTTTAATGCCTGTTGATTTAAATGCAAGACAGCAACTGAGGGCTCAGCTTAACTGTGCAAATGCTAGCATACCAAAGGCATTGCACGTCTACAGATCTGTAGAGCACCAATTTCTAAGGCAACTTTAGTGCTACAAAAATAAATACTATTGGAGGTGTGCAAAACAACCCCCTGGCTGGAGAGAGATAAATCTGCTTAAAGACATGCTCCCCAGCACAGAGGTGATGGGGAACTTTTCCTTTCTTCCCCTGTGCTCCATTCTCCCTGTCACCAAACTGGATCATTGATAAGCTTCCCTCTCCCCTCCCAGGGAAAAAGAACCCCCTGGCAGTCATCATCAGTTGGCAGCTGCCACTGGGAGCAGCAGCTGTAGGAGATGTCCCCCTCCTATCCCCTTGGCCCCCACTGCCTGCTGGGGACCCGGGGCAGAAGGAAAGTTGTTTTCCCACCACCCCCACAGTCACTGAAGGGCTGTATTCAACAGCTGCTGCCACCAATGCAGCAGAAGTATTGAGTCTTGCTGGTACTTCAGGGAACTGATGGCTGAGGCAGCACTTTTGGCTGCAGTCTATGTCACAGGGGGTCAAGTAAGACAATGCTCTTGCAGGGGAAGGATGGAAAGCTGTGGACTATGGGATACTGTGGGGTCTGAAAAAATACCCTGCTGTGCTACAGAGAACTGTCCACAAATTATATGTAGCACTACAAGATGTAGTGCTACAGAGTTCTGCTTTGGAGGAGGAACGTTTTTGTGGTACTACAGATGGCTTGCACATGTAGCCCTACGAAAAGTGAGTATCCATAAGACTGATCGTAGCACTACAAATGTAATGTCTGTCTAAGGCCTAAGACTGCAAACAACAAAAAAAGCTACTTTTCTCATCATACGCATGCACAACTTTTCCATTTTATCTACTTATACCTGGAAGCCTGGACATGGAACGTATCTCGCATGTTAAACAGTTGGACTGTTTGGAACAGATTCTCTCTTGTGGTTCAACTCCATTTGGCACAGGATGTGCACAAGACATCAGAGAGGTTTCTGTGGCTCACTGATTCCAAGGAACAGAGAGCAGGCTTCTCTGATCCCAACACACGTTACAACAGTTCAGTGGCTGCTTCAGCTACCACCACTGGAATATGGGCCTCTTACCAGTTGTAGCTACCTGCTGTGCAGAGAGCTCCATGCCACCACACTCTACTCCTTTTCTCAGTACACAATGTCCTGCCTATGGGGCACAAGGTGGCAAACTGCACATGTGCACTCATCAGGACTCACCTTAAAGCTCATCTAGGGATTATTCCAAAATTAGATAGTCTAAGGGTGGCCTTGGCAAAAAACCCATTGCTGGAGGACAATAAGAATATTACTGCAAGCTAATGATAATATTCAATGTAGCGTGGAAATCCCCAAATACATTCTTTTACTGACATTTAAACTAAGTGCCAATTCAGTGAAAGGAAGTGGTTTTCTTTCTTCCTGCACAACCCCGCTGACTTGGCCATATAAATCACTCTGTTTTTCTTCTTGATCCTTCCTCTCCAAAGTTATTAGATGCTTAATGAATCTAAAAACTAATTTTATTCTGTAACAAAATCTGAGAAAATTTAATTATAAGTTGCAATTCAGGCCACACCATGAGTCAGTCCTTCATGCAAATGAAGACAATTCATATGTATTCACAAGTGAAATATAATCAGCATTATTTCTCTCTCAAATTATTTCGCTCATTAATTTAATTCACTGATAATCATAACATTCCCATTTCTTTAATTTGGTTTCCATCTGTATAAAATATGTACGCCTACATCTGAAAGCAAGTATTCATTACAGAAATAAATAACTTGTTAAGCAGATAGGTTTGCGTACAATAACTAGCAAGAACAAAGCATTGTTATGTTCTGTTTTTCAGATTTCCTATGAAGCTTCTACTACCTACTCCCACTGGAGAATACCACTGAAAATTATAAGCCTACCTATGGCAGTAAGAAAATAAATGTTATTTCGCCAACATAAAAAGAAACCAATTTTCAATTTGAAAATTTACCCTTCACTTACATGAACTTTTACCCTCTTCCTGTGATACATGCAGATTACATTCTGATGTACTCTCCAGCTTGTGGAATGATTTCTCTACAACTTACAAGTCATGGCTAATAGGTGATACATATGGTCTCCTTATAGACACCCCCCAAAAAAGGGGAGGGAGGGAGGGATGAGAGGCTTGGCACCTTTGTCCACAAGGCAGGATACTATGCTCAAGTCTTTCTATTGGCTCCCAGTTGGTTTCAGATGCCACCTGTCATCCTTCAATTCTCCTCCTCCACATATTTCTCAGTGTGCGCACTGGGCTGAAGTGCTGTCGGTGCCACTATTGCTGCTGCTGCTGCTATAGGGAGAGTGTTTTCCCTTGAAGACCTCCATGTTATAGAAAGAATGATCACATGCCTGGTTCAGCAGTGAAGGCTCTGCTAGATTTATTACCTACACAGCACTTATTCAAACTTTCATGGTCAATGTGTTTATAGGGTGTTAGCCCTGGATGCTCATGGAAAGGTCCAGGCACAGCTGGCATCCTTTAGGCCTAGCGCAATTATGGGTTCTCAGACCCTTCTGTATACATTGATCAAAATAACTTATTTTACAGCATATACATCCTAGTTCTCAGCCAATACTACAATATTTTCCCACTGAATAGGAAAACATCTTTAACAGATCATCTTAATTCTTGTACACTCCATCCTTATTTTGGTGTCCTGTCTGGTCGCATCAATCACCCATATCCATTTGCCTTATG